AGAGAAAAACTTTTCCGAAAAAAAAATCGAAATGATTTTTTCTAGATGAGAATATTTTGGAAAATTTCTCGATATTTTGTATAATTTAGACAAATAATTATAATTATTAATTTTTAATTATTATAATTAGAAATATTTGGAGTTTCAATATGGAGGTGCTTCTCCACCTGCGAACGCCAAGGTCACCACCAGGTGGCGAAAACAATTCCAAGAATGGACTAGAGTGCCATCTAGCGGTGACCTTGGCGTTCTCAAGTGGAGAGAAATCTCAGTTCGATATCTCCACTTATTTGAAAGTAAATATGTATTTAATAAAGTTAATAAGTATTGAAAAAAATAAGTAAAATAAAATAAAAATAAGTTAATAAGTATTTTTAAAAAATATTTTTATTTCCAACATTTTTAGTAGGAAAAAAAGTGTTTTAAAAATGGGACGAAGTTTTTTTTTCCTGATTTCTACGAAATTGTCTTCCACTGAGAAAAGTAACGAGATAAAAAAAGGAAAAAGAGCGGCTGTATATGAAAACCTACTATATATTATTATTATTCTTATTATATTTAAATACTTAACAAGCTACGTAATATATATTTATACCAGCTGCAGGTATAGACTAAATACATAATATCTATTCGTATACCTATCTACCAACCTTATACCTTTTACCTTATACTTGTCATAGAAACTTAACACTTCTAAGCTATAGCATCATACCTTATTATTAATCCGTGAGACGTGTGTCCTAGAAAGTACGTACTTTGCCCGAGAGGCGCAACACTGTCAGTTTCGTAAGTAGACCAGACCTTAACATGAGGTTTTTTTTTTTTGTTGAATCTGTAATGCTTCTTTGGGCTTGATTTTGATTCCACCGGATTCCATCTACGCCAAAAAAAACAAAAAAAATAACAATGAAAATAAAAAACAAAAAGTCAAAATAACAGTGAAAAAAAAGCAAAACAACAAAGAAAAAAAAGGAAATAAAAAAGAAGTAAATTAAAAATTGTTTTTTAATCGCAAATTTGGAATTACTTCAAAATATTCAAAGTCGTACTAAGAGCAATTTTAACGCAACTGAAAATATTAATTTTCAATTAAAACAGTTTTCATTTGATTTAAAAATCGAAGATTGAAAATTAATTTGAAAAATAATCTTTAAAACAAATAAAAATAATCTATAACATATTTTTTAAGTTGAAAAATCTACAAAACGAGTAGAAAATATTTTTATTATAAAACAAACTAGTTTTATGTTATTAGAATACTTATTATTCTATTAAATTAATATTAAAGTTAATTTAATTAATATTAAATTTAATTTAATTAAAGTTAAATGTAATTTAATCCAAATTGTTTTGCCAGTGTAACTAAATTAATAAATTCAACTTAATTAAGGTCATTTGAGAGAAAAAGTGTTTCTATAAATTATTTCTTATTCATAGAAAAAAAAGGATATTTTCGGATTATTTTAATTAACATAAATAATTATAATTATTAATTATTAATTAATATAATTGTAATTATAACAATTAGAAACATTTTGAGTTTCAATATGGAGGTGCTTCTCCACCTGCGAACGCCAAGGTCACCGCTAGGTGTCGGTTCATTTTCAAAAACCAAATTTTTCGCCATCTAGTGACGACCTTGGCGTTCTCAAGTGGAGAAAAGTGTCAACTCGACATTTTTACGCGTTTAAGAGAAAAAAAAAAACTAAAACCAGTTTTTTTGCAAGGTACTTTTTCTACATGGCCTTAATTTTAAAAAAATTTGCTTTTTGACCATTAAATGATCAAAAACCATTTTTTTAAATTTTTCAATTTGCGATTTAAAAACAAAATAAATTCCAATGAAACAAAATAAATAAAACTCAGCATCTTTTTCCAAAAATTTAATTCTAAACAAAAAATAGAAAGCAATGGAAAAATTTTTTTTGGAAAACAAAAAAAGTAATTTAAGACAGCGAAAAAAAATGTCAAATTAATTCAAAGTTGCCAATTTTTTCATCGAAGTGCTAAAAATGTTATCGTTGTACCGTCTATTGAGTGAAACGTCGATTCTTCATATTTGATAAGAAAGTAAATTTATATATTGAAAGAAAGAAAAATATTGTGCAAAAAAAAAAACACGCATATATATAATTCGTATTCGTTTGATATTATCTGAGTGTATAATAAATGAAAATACAATAATTATAAATTTTAATTTATAATTTACAAGAAAAAAATACGATAAAAAAATACAATAATTACAAATTATAATTTACAAAAAAAATTATAATATTTCGAATGAATATTCCAACCATATTCAATTGATTATAATGAGTAAATATATAATTATGTATTACAATTATATAAATATTATAATTATATACATTATAATTATATATTACAATTATATATATAATTATATATATAATTATATATTATAATTATACAAATATATATAATTTATAAAGTAATAAATAAGTATTATAAATAATAAGTAAATAAATATTATTATATAAATATTATAAACTATTATATAAAATACTATTTATAAAAATATAAATTTCTATTTACATAAATAGTATATAAATCACTTTATATAATATTTATATAAATATCACATAAATCACTATTTATATATAAATATATATAAATTACTCTATTATATAAATAATACAAAAAAAATATTTATAATAAACAATGAAATATATTATACGAATACATAGAATAAAATTATAAAATATAAATATAATAAACCTAAATTATAATATACGATATAAAACCGAAATACATCAAAATATTATATACAGTATTATAAATATATAACTATATTTGAGATGCATTTAATAAACATGAAAAAAAAAATGTTGAAAAAAAAGAAAAATTATTTGTTGTTATTACTGCTGTCAAATTTTTTTTTTCAATGCGAAAATTTATTTTTAAAAACAAAACAAACAAACAAACAAAAATGAATGAGGTTTTCCTTGACGTAATCAAAACCAGCCCGGTAGAAAAATTTAGGTACGAAATCACTAATACTTTTTAATAACGTATCAGTGTATTTTTTATATAGAATAAATGCTCTATTGTAATAATTTAATCTGCGTAAATTGTGATAACAAATATATATACATACTATATAATATAATAAATTCTAGAATAGTGAGCAAAGTAGAGTAGATTGTGATCGGTGTTTTTTTAAATATTGTATCGTCAATATCTATGTCGTAGTGACGTTGGTAAATTTTTTCATAAACATAAATATCAAATGTTTTTTTCATTTTATTTTTTAGAATGTAAAATTTTTCATTTTATATTTTATAGTGTCAATAATAGTTTATATTGTAGAATATAAAATGAAAAATTATTTTGTAATTTATATTTTACAATATAAATTATAATAACTATAAATTATATAATAGAAATAGAAATTTTTCATTTTATTTTCTATAACATAAATATAGAATATAATATTTTTCACTTCTTAATAAATAATAGTTTTATGAATAATAATATTAATAATCGATAATTATAACTGATAATAACACTAATTAATTATTTTTATAATTATTATATTCATTTTATTTCTTAATGCATTCCTACCATTATTAACATATTATTACCAATAAAATGGAAAAAGAATAATTATTATTATTACTATCAGTTATAAATACGAATAAAATATGTTTTCAATTCGTAATTATAAAATTTACGAATATCTTATGAAACTAAATATGGAAGTGCTTCTCCACCTGAGAACGCCAAGGTCACCGCTAGATGGCAGGCAAGTTGCTAAAACTACTCCTTGCCACCTAGTGACAATTTTGGCGCCAATATTTGAAAACAAGAAATAAAATGTTTTAATTTTTACAACATTTAACAAAAATAGACAAAATAACATTAATATTTATTATTATAGAATAATAAAAATAATAATAATAAAAATACAGTGTTAAAGAATAAATTTTCTATTTTTTAGTAGAGTAGCTACTTTGACGCACCGGATTAAAAAATATGAATGTAATACTTTTTGAAAATTCTGAAATATTAATAAATGTTAAATATTATATTTTGAAATTTAAAAGTATAAGAAATATAAAAAAATTGTATTAAAAATTTATAAAAATAGAAAGCAAAAAATGAAGGAAAAAAATATGTTTATGAAAGTATTTGCCAACTTTTAGTCGATATTCTAATAAGCTACATTAGTGAAACCATAGAAGATCGATAACTCTAACTAACTAATTACCTTAAAGGCTAAAATAACCATAGTTTATAGGAAAAGGTTTATTTTGTCGTAGATTGTATAATACCTCGGTCGCGCGTAGTTACTATATATATTTTAGAAACCTCTATTATATTACAACAAATTTAGTCGATGCGTTAGTCGAGCGACATAGTCAAATATTCTTAGTTGTGTGGTCTTTTTTAAATTAGTGTCAAATTATGAAATTTCATGGTTGTTCTCTATCATTTTATTTTGTCTCTCTTTTCTCTTTTTTTTTAATTTGAAAAAAATTTTCATTTTTCTTTCTCTCTTTTCTCTTCTTTCTATATCTATACTTTTCTTGCTCTCTCTCTTTTTCTTTACTCTAATCTAGACGCTTCTTAATCTATTAAAAAAAAAAATTAATACATAATCTTTAATTTTACTTTCATTTTTCACCTCTATTGGTTTGAATACTAGACACGTTTCTCAATACACCGGTTTTCTCGAAAATCTGCAAGTGTGATATATATTAGTATTAAATATAAAATAATATTTGGAAACAATTTGAAAATTAATTTTTTTTGGTAAATTAAAAAGTATTTTTTGTTTTGTTTTAATATATCCGTTTGCAGAATTTTCGAATGCACAGACTTGGTGATAAAACCCTGATTGAAATACACTGAGCTTTATACCTTTATTTTTCCATGATATAATAATTAAAAATAAAAAATAAAAATTAATCATTTGAGAAATTTTTAATTGATTGTTATTTTTGATGATGTTTATTAATTGGATTTATTTTTCCTTGTAGATTTTATGTGGTCCTTGGGAGCATTACCTGATGGTGAGTGAATTTATAATATACATTAAAAATTTTTTTAGTGATTCTTATTCCTATTAATTATTAATAATTAAATATTTAGAATAGTACTAACAATGTTAGTAAAGATTAATAATAGTTATTAATTATTCATTAATTATTAATAGTTACTAATTAGAATTAATTTATTATTAATAGTATAATTTTTTAATATTTAATTATTACTAGTTAAATATTAATTACATAATAATTATTATAAATTAACAATTAATAGTTATTAATAATTTATTATTAATTATTATTCAGTACTTATTAATTATTAGTTACTTAATAGTAAGTACATAGAAATTATTATTTTTAATATTTACCAAAAGTTATATTACCTAGGAATTACTGTTTTTAATGAAAATTTCTTATTAAACGTTAATCACTATTCTCGTCTGGCCAAAGAAGGATTTTTCTACTCAGACTACAATTTCCCTGGTAAAAATTATGATTTTCCTCTTTAATACAAATTTTAGTTTTTATTATTCAGTATAATCCACTGAAAAGCTGTTTTCCTCAACAAAAAACTGTCCTTTTTTCTTGAAATCAACTGTTGTCTGACTAAAACCGTTTTATCCACTTGACAAAATATCTTTTTTTCCAAAAAAACTGCTTTTCTCCTTAACAGTAAATTTTTTCTCACGAAAATGACTTTATCTACTTAAATAATATTTTTTCCCACGAAAATGGCTGTTCCCAAGACAAACGTTGTCACTAATTGTGTCTGACCAAAAACGTGTTTTTCCACTTAAAATATCCTTTTGAAAAAATTTCATTGTTTTATTACAAAAATTGAAAGACCATAATGGTTTTATTTATATGAACAATATTTTTTAATAAAAAATTTACATTTTTCTACATTAATAACGTCTTAACGTTGTCTGACCAAAAAAGAATTTTTCTACTTAAAATCTCTTTTTAGTAAAAATTCCATTTTCAATAAAAAAAAATTTCATTACCATAAAGGTTTTACATCTGCATAAACAATATTTTTTATTTAAAAAATCTACAATTCTCTATAAGCCGAGTGTTGTCTGACCAAAAATGGATTTTTCTACTTAACATCTCTGTTTGTAAAGTAAAATATCTTTTTTCCATAAAAATTCACAAAAAACATAATTTTTTCTTTAAATTTTCGAGTTTAACATTGTAAAATACAAACTTTGTCTTACCAATACGGTTTTATCCACTTACACAATGTTTTCTACTAATGAAATTTACATTTTTACTGTTTTTACATGTACTGCCTTACTAAGACGATTTTATTCACTTAGACAATTTTTTCCATTGAGGAAATTTACATTCTTCTAATTTTATTTCATAAAAGTTGTCTTATCAAAACAGCTTTACCTACCTAATGGAAATATTTTTAAAAAATATGCTTTTCTACTTTAGAATAAAAATTGTCTCACCAAAAATGGTTTTATCTACTCAATTATAATTATTTATAAAAACTATGTTTGAATTCTATTTTCGACCTAATATTGTCTGACCAAAACATTTTTACCTACTTAAAAAATATTCTTTCAGAAAACGAATTTTTACCCTAATGTAAATGTCTTACCAAAACGGTTTTGCCTACTTATTCCTAATTACTTCATTAATGATGTCTTACCAAAAATGGTTTACCTACTTCTAATCTTTTTTCTCACAAAAATTTCCTTTTTCTTTTTAATACAAGCATTGTCTTACCAATACGGTTTTATCCACTTACACAATATTTTCTATTAAAAAAATTTACAATTTTACTGTTTTTACATTTATTGTTTTTACTGTCTTACTAATACGGTTTCATTCACTTACACAATTTTTTTTGTTAGGTAAATTTACATTTTTTTAAATTTATATCACAAAAGTTGTCTTTTTCAAACAGCTTTATCTACTTAATGATAATTATTTTTAAAAAAAAACATGTTTTTCTACTTTAGAATAAAAATTGTCTCACCAAAGACGATTTTTTCTACTCAAATATAATTATTTATAAAAAATATGTTTTATTTATATTTTTGACCTAATATTGTCTCACCATAAAAGTTTTACCTACTTTTTCTTTATTTTTCTTTAATTTTTCTTTAATTTTTCTTTTCCCCGTAGAAAATTTTTTTTATCCTAATTTAAATGCTGTCTTACCAAAATGGTTTAACCTACTTATTCCTAATTATTTCATTAATTATGTCTTACAAAAACGGTTTTATCTACTTATTTATAATTATTTCATTAATGGTGTCTCACCAAAGACGGTTTCATCTACTTATTTATAATTATTTCATTAATGGTGTCTCACCAAAGACGGTTTCATCTACTTATTTATAATTATTTCATTAATGATGTCTCACCAAAGACGGTTTTATCTACTTAATTATAATTATTTATAAAAAGTATGTTTTATTTCTATTTTCGACCTAATATTGTCTTACCGTAATAGGTTTACCTACTTAATAAATATTTTTTTCTTCGTAGAAAACGAATTTTTTCCCTAATGTAAATGGCTTACTAAAACGGTTTTACCTACTTATTCCAAATTATTTTATTAATGGTGTCTGACCAAAACGGATTTACCTACTTACATATTTATAATTATTTTAATTATGGTGTCTGACCAAAACGGATTTACCTACTTACATATTTACAATTATTTTATTAATGATGTCTTACAAAAACGGTTTTACCTACTTATTCCAAATTATTCTATTAATGATGTCTGATCAAAACGGGTTTACCTACTTACATATTTATAATTATTTTATTAATTATGTCTTACTAAAACGGCCTTACCTCCTTATTTCTAATTATTTCATTAACAATGTCTTACCAAAACGGTTTTACCTACTTATTCCTAATTATATCATTAAAATTATATACTTCAATGTCTAATTAACTTTTGCCTTACCAGATAAGAATTACCTACTTATAATCTCTTTCATTCTTGTATTTTTTATTTAATTGTGTTTATGCTAATAAATACATAAATATATTAATTTATCTTAATATAATAAATGCAATGAATAAATATATATATTCATGTTATAACAAATATAGTGAATCGAGAATTAAAAATAAAAATATTCTTTATTAAATAAATTTTTTGCTTTTGATAAAAAAAATGTTATTAAAAATATATTCTTCTGTTCACAGGTTTCCCAGCGGCGGCGTACGCGGCATACGCCGCAGGTCGCGGTTATTCTGGGTACCCTAGTTTCGGACTACCCTACCCGACAGGTAATCATCTTAGTCTTAACCACCATAATACGGCCCACATCGCGCCCCTTAACCTAAACTTAAGCCATATACAAGCGCCGCCAACACCACATCACAATCCCCCAACCCCAACCGCTCTTTTCTACCATCCTAATTTGGACCTCTACAATGCCATGCCTCTGTGAACTAACTTACTTGTACTTCAAGCGCATTCTAACCAATCGCCACTTACTAACTCTGCCGTTGTCCGCAGATCAACTTTTTTAGGTACAAAAACAAAATAAAACAAAAGCAACTTTACAAATTAATCAAAGAGACAATTCAACAAATTTTCCTCTAGTTTCCTAGTTTCAGATTCACGATATTTGGCTATTTTCAATTATATTTGAAAAGGAAATAACAATTATTTTCTTTTTTAAGAAAAATAACAATTTTTTTTCTTTGAAAGATAAATAACAATTATTTTCTTCAAAAAAAAAAGAAAAAAGAATTATTTTTTTGGAAAAGAAATAAGAATTATTTTCTTTGGAAAATAAATAACAATTATTTTCTTCGAAAAAGAAATAACAATTTTTTTTAAATAACAATTATTTTCCTTGAAAAAAGCAATATTTAATATTAATTAGAATTAATAATCGAATTATTATTAATTTAATAAATAATTGATAATTACATTATTCATATAATTAATCTAATTAGTTAAAATGTATTAATACAAATAATCTAATTAGTTAAAATTTATTAATACAAATAATCTAATTAGTATTAATACTATTAATAAAATTAATATTAATTTATTACTTGGTTAATAATTAATTTATTATCATTATTAATCCAAGTAGTGTTAATTTATAAATTAATTGGAATTTAAATATTACTAAACTAATTAGTATTATTTCACTAATTAATTGTCAATTAACGTATTAATATTATTAATCTCATTAGTTTTAATATACTTGCATTATTGTTTGATTATTAATATCAAAATTATTGCTTGATTATTAATATCAAAATTGTTGCTTAATTTATTAATATCAAAATTATTACTTGATTGTTAAATTGTTAATATTGAAAATTATTGACTGATTGTTGATATTAAAATTATTAATTAATTATTAATGTTATTAATTAATAATTATTACTATTACTGTTAATTACTAATTAAAATTAAATGAATAAATAAATTATCAATGTGAAATAATTAAAAATTTTGTCGATTATTAATAAGAATTTAAAAAATTTAAATAATAAAGTGCGATCAAATTGTTAATTTGTATCAATTATTAGTAAATCGATCAAAGATTATAAGAATAATAATTAATCTTTGAAAAAACCTATCAAAGGACTTTGATGCTTGCGATGTTCATTAATGACATTAAAATTAGTTATAAACATTCTTTGGGAATATTTAATTCCTTGGAAAATTTTCCAAAAAAGAATTTTACCCTAAAAAAAGGGAAAAAAGGAAAAAAAGGAAAAGAATAGCGAAAAATTCGACTATATATGTTGAATATTCATTACTAAACAAAATTTATAAGCAGTCGATTATTGAAATTCAACTGCAACTGTACAAAATATTATTATTTAATAACTATAAGCTCGAGATTATTTAATTATAAGAAGAAGAAGAAGAAATTGCGGTTTTCCCAAACTATCATCTTGCACCTATGAACAAATTTTTAAATATATAATAATGCAAAACAATTTTAAAAAATAATTTTTTTTTCGATTATGATAATAATATCTAATAAAGTAAGATAAAAATGTTATTTCAATATTATAAGCGATATAAGATTGATTTTCATGAAAAAAAAAATATTATTGACAAATATATAATGATAAAAGGATAAAGCAAAAAAAAAAACTAAAATAATAATAAAAATAACTTAAAGCTATTGAAAGGTAATTAAATAAGATTATATATCGTATACACTATTATATTGTCACGTGTATGTTATATTGTATATATATTTTGACCAAGCAATTTACGTAAACATTTAATTCAAATTTTACAAAAATATTTATTATAAAAATTATTAAAAAAAAAAAGAATTATAAATAATAATTGGTTGGGAAATTCAAAAGAAAAATATGCTAGTAATAAAATGCATTTTGTTAATATACGTTTATTTCCAACGAAAAGTGAGGAATATTTTTTCAAATTTATTTTCATGGACGGTTTAAAGAAAAATTGAAAAAATTAGGAACGAATTTATTCCGGATAATTGATCAATTTATACACTACCGGTTAGAAATGTGAGAACACTAATTTTTTCTTGACAAAATGAAAAAAAAACATTTTTGCCGAAGGAAAAATATTTAACATTTTTTATATTAATATTTTTATCTCAATTTTTACTATTTAAAGAAAAACAAATCTGTACTTTAATTATAAGTACTTCTTATTCTTTTGGAAATTATCCTCTAAATTAAGTTTAAAAATAAAAATCGTTTTAATTATTCAAGTGCATAATTGAAATTTTGATAAAAAGTTAAAAACAGCATTTTTTATACAGAAATAATCTACATGTAACTTTTAATCAATTTTCCAGTAATTTAATTCAATAATTTTATTATTTCAATAAAATTATTGTCAAAATCTTAATTTTCTCTCTTTCGTAAGAAATTAATGAGAAATTTATTCGTTTTTAATAATATATTAACGTAAAATGTAATTAATTTTCTGTAGAAATATTATAATCAGTAATTTAATTATCAATTAAAATTTAAAGAGAGAGAAATGTTAGTTTTTATTAATTTTCATTATTCAAGATATTCTATTATTCAATAAATTATATTTCCATAAATAATTTTAATAAATGATACAAGGAAAGGATTCTAAAAAAAAATTCAAAATTCAAAAAAGAATAATTTTAGTATTTTTATCATTCAATTAATTTTTTTTATTCAATGAAGAATATTTTCAAAAATAATTTTTGTAAATGATACAAGAAACAAAATTCAAAAAAGGTTCAAAAAAGAATAATTTTAGTAATAATTTTAGTTCATAAATTTTTATCATTCGAGTAATTTTATTTAACAAAGAATATTTCGAAAATTAATTTTAAAAAATGATACAAAAAGGGATTCAAAATAAGATCCAAAAAAAAGTCAAAAAGTAATTCAAAAATAAAATTCAAAGAATTATTCAGGAAAAAATTTAAAACTAATTCAAGAGAAAATATTCAAAAATCATTCAAAAACGAATTTAAAGAATAATTGGAAAATGGATTAAAAAAAAACGAAAAAGTATTCAAAAAATGATTCGAAAAAGAATTCAAAGAAAATTCGAAAAATGACTCAAATAAGTAACTGACATTTCGAATCGATAGTGTGTAAACGCAATAAATTAAACTGTCGTTAGCAGATTGCCTCAAAATAATTTTCTCATCATTTTCAATTCCTCCGATCATTTCATAAGGATTCGCAGTTTGTAATTATTCTCTCGGTTGTTATAGAATATGAGAAAACTGAAATTGATATAGAATATATACACGAATACAATGTTGAATTCGCAGAAATAGAATTCGTGGTTCGCCAATGAAATTTCACCGCAAGCTCTATATATATATATAGAAAATTCTATCGACCGCTGAAATCCGATGAGAAACGTCCACTTTCACAGAATCTTATTGGATTTTCAAAGATTTACATTTCGGTCGGAGATTAAATGTACGAAATCAAACTCCCTTTCCCTTGCGACGGGACCACGAGACCAGTTAATTCTGTAAATATATTATCACAACGAAAAAAAAAAAATCTCGCGACTCAAAAAAATGTCTTTCATTACGAAATGAGGAAATTTTTTCTTAATTCCTTTTCAATTTCATTTTAATATTCAATTTTTGCTTTTTCCAAAATTTTACTCGTGAAGGGGAAAATTTACACAAATTTCGAATTTTAATTGGTTTCTTCAATTGTTACGCGAAAATGACTCTTACGGTTTTTTTCACTGAACAAAATAAAATATCAAATAACGAAACTAAAAAGTATTTACTATATTTTTTCGGGACAAGATTTATGTCAAAATTTTTCTTATTAATTTCATCTGATAATAATTGCCGGACGACGCAATTATTTTTCCGAGCGTCTATTTTTTAATATCCGCGTTGAAACTTTAGAAAAGATCTTTATTAACGGGCGACCCTTCGGTGAAAAGACAAATAGCAGATGGTTCGACCACCGAGGGAGTAGTAATTCCTTCGATGCTTTATCAATCCCCACTTTCGATTCTCATTCCCCCTCCCCTTTTTTTCTTCCTCCCCCTCCCTCTCTTCATTCACCTCCTTTATTTGGACATATCTGTTTGCTCTCTTGTTTTCGTTTTTCTTTATTTTTTTTTTTTATTTCTTAATTTCTCTTCATTTGTCTCGTTAGCCTTCGAGGAATTTTTTTTTCATTCACAATTTTTTTTTTATTCTGGAAATTTTAATTTCGAAAATTTTTAATTTCAAACTTTTTAATTTCAAACTTTTAAATTAAAAACCTCTTATCTTTATTCAAAACCTTTACTATAAAATTTTTAATTTGAAGAAATTTAATTTAACATTTTTGAATTTGAAATAAATTTTCAAATTAAATTGAAGTTTAATTTTCAATTCAAATTTCAAACTGTTTCAATTTTTTTATTTTTAAGGTTTTTATGATTAAAACGTTTTAAATTAAAATTATTGAAATTAAATGTTTTGAATTAAAAGTTTAAATTGAAAAAAAAGTTTTTAAGTTTCAATTGAAAATTTTTTATTTTTAATGTTTTCAATTTAAAAGTTGCAATTAAAAACTTTTCAATTTTGAAATTCTATGTTTCGAAAGTTTTTTATTTGAAAATTACAATTTGCTAATCAGGAAGAATATGACAAAAAGGGAATGAAGCAAAAAAAAAGAAAATTGTATATGAGAAATTAAAATAAGTCCAAGAGACACGAAATCAATAATATGGAGAGCGAAATGGAAGAAGAGAAACTAATATTAGAAACAGGGCCTTTTGATTTGAATATTAAAAATAGCATGCTGATGGTAAT